TTCATATAAAATCTGTTAAATTGTAATATATTGTTGTCTCATTTCATGGAATGCTGTGCTTAAAAGATCAAATGCTGCAGTAGTGTTTTGCGTATAGCTGGAGGGTTAGTAAATAATATGAAGCGACATTTAAAACCAAAGCACCCTCATAGACAACCGTGGAGCTGGAATATAGCAAAGGTGTCCGGAGCAACAACTGCAGCACAAGCAAGTGTGCTGCCGAATATAACGGAGTTATGCCATCGACCACCACCCATTAACAAAGTGGGGAAAATAGATATGGAAAGTCCTTCGAATGATTGTGAAAGGTAACTATTCATTACGGTTGGTTGAACTGCCAGAACTAAATTGAACGATATAAGCAACTGAACGAGGTGAACGACCTAGTTCACTTTTAAAAAATTATCTAGTTCGTTCGATCACTGAACTGAACGAGATTGCCCAAGACTAGTATACGAGACTGCGGACGAGCCAAGCACTTCGTTAACTTCTGAGATCGACTCCTTCGGCATGGAACAGTGAAACATATATCCGTATGGTTCTTCGAAGTGAATGAGAATTATTGTGTACTTCAACAAAGAGTGTTTGTCGATAAATGGATTGAAGTTGAAGAACACAGGTACTTACTTCTAAATACTGAAGTGGGTTGACATTAATTTGGATAGTGCATAATGTATGAAACGGTCACGTTACAGTCCTCCTGTCCACATACCGGACCTGGTAAACAAAGTGTAGGTGGTATTTATTATCCTAATGTTGGAACTTTGCTTTTAACAATTCAAGACCACTGGATTATCCTGTTGTAAATATTACCCTTAATCAATTTTTCTATCAGAGATATTGTTGCCATTTCACTTCGATGGAAGAATATTTGATTGATCTCAATCAATTGCTTTCCAATAAATGATTTTCTTGAGATTTGGCCTCATTCTCCTGGTATTAATTTTATTGCAGAGTATTTCTTCCTCCCTGTTTTTTATGGCTTCTCTACAAACATTGCCTTGACAATTGTAAAGAATACAGTCTTTGCTATTACCCCTTACCCTTGATTGTGGCCATATTCTTCATTCCGATGAAGACTTCCCACTTCAATACCAGCAGTGCCTTGATCTGCAGACCGAAAACTTTGAGCATGCGCTCTGCTGTATACTCGATGCCCCCACCTCTGTTGCCATATGTAGATGAGGAATGTATTTTTTCTTACCAAGAAGACTGTCTCGTGTTATAGACACTAGATGAATTGTTGTTGACTGCACTATATGGTTTATCACTGCTTAGCAGAGCTCGGTTCTAGCGTGCATTCTGGCCAACTATGAGGACCACAATCCTTGGATTTACGTTGCATCCTCCTTTCCCTTTGGGTCGGCTCGGTATTCTCCTTGTATCAGCTGAAGGAAATCTATTTTTATTCTTTGTGGGTTTGGCATTCATCGGCTCTTCCAGAGACCTAATCCTTTTCGCTGCTTCCGAGATTTTTGTGACAGGCTTGTCCATATAGGTATCCGTAAGCTGTTCGCTCTTGTTTCCCCGGTTCACCCTGACCAGATTCTTATTCTGGTTTTTGCATTCATCTGCTCTTCCGGAGACTTAATCCTTTTCTCTGCTTCGGAGAATTTTGTATCAGACTTATCCATATATTCTGTGTCTCATATAGCTGCTTCATTCTTATCGTGAACTTGGCGATATCCTTGTTCCCTTCTTCCACCATCTTATCAGCCACTTCACACTTCCGGCACTCGAATAAAGTTAGGTCCGACAAAAATGCATTTTTCGACTCGGAATTTGAGTTCGAGTGTCCATTAGGCCACAGTCCATGGATTCACGTTGCATCATTCTTTCCCTTTGGGTTGGCTGGCTTTCTCCTTATATCAGCTGAAGGAAAGCTCTTTTATTCTTTGCCTGTTTGGCTGATTTCGGGGACCTAATCTTTTTCGACGCTTCCGAGAAAGTTGAGTAATGCTTATCCATATATGTCTGCTGTTCGATCTTGTTTCTTCGGTTCACCCTAGCCAGTTTCATCCTCTGTGTTCCAACTAGCTGGTACATTTTTGTTATCTTGGCGATACAACTTGCTCTCTTCTTCCACCACCTTATCAGCCCCTTCACTCTTACGAAATTCTTATATATTTACGTCCGACTTACGTTCGTTATTCTGTACTGAATTTTAGTTCGCGTCCCCACATATCTCGGAAGAATGGGTCGAGATTGCTCTTCTCCGATGAGTCATGCTTATCCATATATGTCCGTTGTTCGATCTGGTTTCTCCGGTTCACCCTAGCCAGTTTCATCCTCTTTGTTCCAACTAGCTGCTACTTTTTGTTGTGATCTTCTCTGTTGTTTCTGGAACTCAGATTTATATGAAGGTCATAGCCAAGGGGCAAACAAATATCCAAGACACCCTCATATATGGGAGATATTTGCTCACGATCAACGACACCCGCTGGTACTGGTATCCTGTATCTTACCCGGACGAAGAATGACAACTCCCTCCAAAAGTTGGTGGATAGGGTAGGGGAATGGTGGATGATCATACTAATATATTACAGTCAGTGTAACCTTTAGGTGTTTCTCTTTTCGGACAAAACCTGATCTCGGGAGTGTTGAAGAAAATAATAATGTTATAATGCGTTATTATCTACCTTCGGAACTTTCCTTTTTGGGTCTCCTCAGTCGATGAATGGAGTCCTCTTGTGGAATGATTAACATAAAATTAGAAATGACCCGAGCAGTATTACCTGACGAAGCTGGTCATATGATACCAAAATTTTCTGCTTTATCGTGATTCAAACAGACGACATGGATAAATTGACATAGAATTTTATTCCGATTAAGAATGGGAGTAGGTGAATATTTTGAGGAATGACCAATGATTCCCTAGTACCACTGAGAAAATTTGGCTGATTAAGGGTTAAAATTGTAATATTAAATAAAAAGCTTTTTCGGAATAAATAGAAGTCTCCAATAATTACCATTTCATCTAATTTGATTCAGTTGTAAAGCTCCCATTTGCTATTGTGCTGCATACTTTTAGGCGAAATTATAAAAACTTTAAGGCAACCACACTTCCATCTAATGTAACAGCAAAAATAATCGAGATAGACCCATGCTTCCTTTGAGAATATGCATAGAATCACTTTCTGAGTCGATTTATGCATGTCCATGTTAAATTGTAATGTACAGGTCGCATTTATGATCCGAATTGGATGAAATTTGGCACAGCTCATTTGTTTGGTCCAAGGACGAACCCTATTGAAATTGGGAAAATTTAAGGTAAATGGTGCAACAAAGTCCCCATATATCTTTCGAGTTGCACGAAATTTGGCACAGCGTAATGCATAAGGTCACGAATGATGTGTGCAAATCGGTACAGATTTAGATATAGCTCCCATATATATCTGCGTCCGATTTAAGGTAAATGGTGCCCCAAAGTCCCTATATACCTTTCGATTTGCACGAAATTTGGCACAACCTACTAGATTAAGTCTAGAATGATATGTGCAAAGTTTCGAGAAAATCGGTTCAGATTTAGATATAGCTCCCATATATATTTTCGCCGATTTTAGGTAAATATTCCACTAAAGTCCCTGGAAATCTTTTGAGTTGCACGAATTTTGGCATAGTGTACTGAATTCAGTCTAGAATGATGTGTGAAAAGCTTTTAGAAAATTGGTTCAGATTTAGATGTAGCTCCCATATAAAGCTTCGCCCGATTTTAGGTATATAGTCCACTAAAGTCCTTGGAAATCTTTTGATTTGCACGAAATTTGGCTCACCGTAATGAATAAGGTCTAGAATGATGTTTGCCAAGTTTCGTGAAAATCGGTTCAGATTTAGATATAGGTCCCATATATATCTTTCTCCGATTTAAGGTTAATTGTGTACTAAAGTCCTTATATATCTTTCGATTTGCACGAAATTTGGCACTGCGTACTAAATTAAGTATAGAATGATGTGTGAAAAGTTTCGTGAAAATTGGTTCAGATTTAGATATAGATCCCATATATAGCTTCGCCCGATTTTAGGTAAATAGTCCACTAAAGTCCCTGGAAATCTTTTGACGTGCACGAAATTTGGCACAGAGTTATGAATAAGATCTAGAATGATGTCTGCCAAGTTTCGTGAAAATCGGTTCAGATTTAGATATAGCTCCCATATGTATTTTAATCCGATTTAAGGTAATTGGTGCACCAAAGACCCTATATATCTTTCGATTTGCACGAATTTTGGTATAGGGTACTGAATTAAGTCTAGAATGATGTTGCTACGCTTCGTGAAAAGATCCATAGCTAGGCCGATTGACACAACGTACTGATGTTATATAAATTAGTCTCTGTCAAGTTTCCCCGAAATCGGTTCAGATATAGATTTATAACAAAACGCGTCGTTTGTTAGGATACATATGTAAAATATGCCCACAGTGGTGAAGGGTATCATATAGTCGGGCCAGTCCGGCTTTACTACTTTCCTTACTGGTTTCTTAATATGAAAGGCATATTTGGGTAAGTGTTCAGTTGTTGATAGGGATGCAAATAAAATAATAAGGACAATTGATTCCGTAGAAAATATTTGAAATCGATAGCAATACCACTTATTTGAATTAAGCAATATTCTTCACTTGGACGAGAAACTACACCACCTATAAATTTTAATTACTTTGGTATTATTATATTTTTTTTAATTTCCGCAACATTTAACCAATTTTCTGGAAATGTGATATCCACTTTAAATTGAAACATTCAACGATAATTAACTTAATAAATATTATTTCAATTAAAATTGTAAGCCATATTGGGGCACCATGCATAACTTTAAATATTATAAAAACAACAATGTACATTAAATTAATTTGATTAAATAATTTCACTACATATAATATTCAATTGGCATTATTTTCAAGTTTGCTATTTAAAACAGCATGAATTGACTGAAAATATAGCATTAAATTTCACAACTTGCAACAAACAATGAAAGCCATAATTTGCCTTCTAGGTCTAGGGGCCATGCTAATGGTCTTTGTGGAATTGGCACAGGTAAGGATTGAGTGAATACAAATAATAAATCGATTTAAATGAATATCCTTTTATTTAATTTTCAGGTTGTAAATAGCAAAGAGTTGCAAGAAAAGGCCAAGAAAATTGTCACCGAATGTATTAAAGAATCGGGTATTAGCGGTGAAGAAAGTAAAATAATTATGGCTGATGACTTGGAAAAAATCGATGAGAGTAAATTTACCGATAAAATGAAATGTTATATGTTGTGTTTCTATCAGCAGCTGGGTATTGTTGATTCGGCTGGTAAGCCGAAAGTTGGACCATTGATTGCCTTTATGGAAGAACGTTACGCCGACAAAAAGGAGAAGGTTAAACCAGCGGTGACAAAATGTGGCAGCATTAAGGATCCCAATCTATGCGTGCATGTCTTTAAATTTGAACGTTGTATTGCTCAAACCGTTGAAGGATAAAGGCGATTGGGCACATTATGGATGGATTTTAGGCTAAATAATAACTCAGTTAAAATAATAGGATATATAGCAAGTTTTATTGAATAAAATGGTTTAATGCAATTAGTAAAATTGGTTTATCAATATGTTCAACTGTTCTATAAACAGGCTCCGCACTGGCTTCCAAACTATAGTGCCTTCAATGTTAGTTCATGAATCTGCCATCTTGGCACATAAATTTTACATATCCCAACATCAGCAAAGCATCTGGGTATAGGAGTTTCCTCTTCAGGATGATGGGGAGTTCTTAAGGAAATTGTACACTTTTCTCCATATATTGACTTGTTCAGAAAGTTGTTCGCTCTTCTCATCATGAAGATATCGATCCGCGAGATGTATTGTTGGGAGGTCGTCTAGTGCAGTCTTAAAGTCTTTGGTTAAATTTATCTCATTAGCCTTCGATAGCTCATGACCTTCATTATGACAATAGTGAAATTTATCATTCAGGCGGATTAAAAAATACAATCGTCAGGAAATCATGAAATATCGGTACCGTTCTGGTCAAAGACGACAGCTAACAGATTTTGGTAAAGATACGAGTATACTAATATTTGGGAGACCAAAAACTTTGTATACCCCACCCAACTATGTTGTCAGTGTATTATAGCTTTGTGCAGCCCCAAGAGTTTGTAACGTGGCGAAATATTGGTCCTAGACCCACCTTCCGTCCGTCCGTCTGTCCGTCTGTTCATAATTTGTAAACACGATACAGGCCACAGCTATGGACCAATCTTCACGAAATTTTGCATGTAGGATGGGTTCTGGCCAATGAAGACCTCTATTTTTTTTTGTTTTTTTGGCAAAGATCGATTAATATTTAGGGTCCAAATACTTAATTTTTGTCGGTTTTTCTGGTCGCTCCAGAGGCCGAAATTATGGCCCAAACATCGCGAATTTTTACATGGAGGAGGGGCCAAAGAATAAGCATGCCTGTTTTGATAAAGACCTGACTTTTGTGTGAAAAATGACAAAATTTTATAGCGAATAGATTTACCCCTGAAGAACATAAACCCGAGAAGTTGATAGTATATCCAAGAGGAGTGGTTGGCCTTTAAATTGATACCAATTATATTGTCCTATGTACTCGGATGTGGGATTTACACTTAAATATTTATAGGTGCTTACGTATCATATATTATTAAGTAACCCATTACCACACTAGAGGAGTTATGGTCAAGGAAAACTCCTATAATTTTCGGTGATGGCCAGATAATAATTTTGATATGAAGTGGACCGAAAACTTAATTTTTTGTGTTTTTTTTTCTATCGATCTATAGGCCACAATCGAAAGCTGAACATCACAACACAATTCACGGTGAAGGGAATCTTGGCAATTAATTGGAAGAGCTGTACTGAATGCTAGTAATATTTGTTGACCTCTAGTTGGTCAAGGGGGTGCAAATATCGCGAAATATTTCCCAGGCTCAGAATATAGAACCGCAGAAAGTTAGATGTTCGTAGTTAGTTGTGTAGGGTATCATATGCTCGTCCCCGTCCGACTATACTGCTCCGCTCACTGGTTTGTATTTATACCCCACACCACACTGTGGTACATGGTATTATGTATTTGTGCATATGTTTGTAACAGGCAAAAGGAAACGAGATAGACCCATAGTTCCTTTTGAGAATATGCATAGAATAACTTTCTGAGTCGATTTATGCATGTTCGTCCGTCTGTTGGTGTTAAATTGTAAACAAAGTACAGGTCGCATTTATAATCCGAATTGGATGAAATTTGGCACAGCTCATTTATTTGGCCCAAGGACGAACCCTATTGAAATTGGGAAAAATTGGTTCAGATTTAGATATAGCTCCCATATATATTTTCGTCCGATTTCATGTAAATGGTGTACAAAAGTCCCTATATATCTCTCGATTTGCACGGAATTTGGCATAACGTACTGAATTGAACCTAGAGTGCTGTCTGATAAGTTTCGTGAAAATCGGCTCAGATCTAGATATAGCTCCCATATATATTTTCGTCTGATTTAATGTAAAAGATGCATTAAAGTCCCCATATATCTATCGATTTGCACGAAATTTGGCAAAACATACTGAGTTGAGCCTAGAATTATGTCTGCCAAGTTTCGTGAAAATTCACCGAAGTCCCTAAATAGCCTTCGATTTGAACGAAATTTGGCATAGTGTACAGAATTGAGGCTAGAATGATGTCTTCCAAGTTTCGAGAAAATCGGTCCAGATTTAGATATAGCTCCCATATATATTTTCGTCCGATTTAATGTAAATGATGTACTAAAGTCCGTATATATCTTTCGATTTGCACGAAATTTGCCATAACGTACTGAATTGAGCCTAGAATAATGACTGCTAAGTTTTGTGAAAATCGGTTCAGATTTAGATATAGCTTTAGATATATATTTTCGTCCGATTTTATGTATATGGTGCTCCAAAGTCCCTACATAACTTTCGATTTGCACGAAATTTGCCATCGTGATGTCTGCCAAGTTTCGTGAAAGTCGGTTCAGATTTAGGTATAGCTCCCATAAATGCGCCAAAGTCCCTATTTATTTTCGATTTGCACGAAATTTTGCAAAGCGTACTGAATTAAGAGTACAATGATATGTGCTATGTCTCGTGAAAATCGGTTCATATTTAGATATAGATCCCATATATATTTCATCCCATTTAATGTAACTTGTGCACCAAAGACCCTATATATTCTTCGATTTGCACGAAATTTGGCATAGCATACTGAATTGAGTCTAGATTTATTTGTAGCTCTCATATGTATTTTCTTCCGATTTTACATAAATGGTGCACCAAACTCCCAATGTTTGTCCGATTGTCAAATTGAGACTTGAATGACGTTATTGGGGTTTGTTGAAATTGGCGCAGATGCAACCAGAGCTTCCATATGTATTTCGATCGGGTGTCTGCTTGATATTAACTTTTTAACTGTACGGGGTACCGTATATCGTGTATCAATTTTGCTATAAATCGATTTCCATAAATTTGTCCAATGATACACAGACGACTCTAAACATGTCCGAATGAAATTTCCTTCCAGGGAACAATGACATAAATTGTAAGGATACATATGTACAATATACCCAAAGTGGTGAAGGATATCATATAGTCGGCCCAGTCCGACTTTACTACTTTCCTCATTGGTTTTCTTTTTAACACAGAAAGGTCTTGGATGATTTGACCCGCTGAATATTGGCCGATCAAAACAGCAATTCTTATTAGTTGGTCAGATTACGTTCCCCATGTTAAGTGTTGTGATGTTCGGTTAATTATTGGTGCACAATTTACTTTAAATCGGACGAAACTATATGGGAGCTATATCTAAATTTGAACCGATTTCAACAAAATTTCTCATACATGGACGGACGGACAGACGGACATGCATAAATCGGCTCAGAAAGTGATTCTATGCATATTCACAAAAGGAACCATGGGTCTATCTCGATTATTTTTGCCTGTTACAAACATATGCACAACGACACAATACCCTGTACCACAGTGTGGTGAAGGGTATAAAAAGCGGGTTATAAGGGGACTACCCCTAAAAGGGGGCGAATATTAATACGTTTTGGGAGGGAGGTTTTTTACCATATACGACTACAAAAAACCAATTTACAATGAATTTGGTTGAAAAACGCCTTCAAGAACCCCAAAATACCGAAAATTATGGGGGCTAACCGAAAAAAATGGACCTATATTTATAATTTTTAGTAGGGAGATTTGCTACCCAATAGGAACTCAAAGTACCAAATTTCAGCGAATTCGGTTGAAAAACGGGCTCAAGAACCCCAAAATACCGAAAATTGGGGGTACCCTTATATGAGGGCTACCCGAAAAAATTGACCTATATATAAATATACATATAATTTTTTAAGGAGAGATTTGATACCCAATAAGAACTCAAAGTACTAAATTACAGCCAATTCGGTGAAAAAATCCGGCCAAAACCCCCCAAAAACTGAAAATTGGGAGGTACCGTTCTATGGGGGCTACCAGAAAAAGTGGACCTATATTTATAATTTTTAGTGGAGAAATTTGGTATCCAAAAATAACCCATTTTTTCAAATTTCAGCGAATTCGGTTGAAAAACGCGCTCAAGAACCCCGAAATACTGAAAATTTGGGAGTACCCTTATATGGGAGCTATGCCTAAACGTGGACCGATTTTCTCCAATCCCTTCTTGATGTAATATTTCGTTGTGTTCTGGACAAAACTGTGGTCTCTAGAGATAACAGAAAATAGAAAAAAAAAATAAAGTTTCATCCCTTAAATATTAATGGATCATTACCAAAGACAATAGGGCCAGAACCTATTATATATTCACAATTTCGTGAAGATTGGTCTATAACTGCCTGTGTCATATTTATAAGTGTCTAGATGGACTCAGCAAGTGTAGATTTGACGATCGATATGCTTAAAGCCGGGACTAGGACCAATATTTGGGGCTGCTCAAAGCTATAATACCCTGACAACATAGCTGTGTAGGGTATAATAAGGAAAATCTTCACCAATTGAATATATCCTTATAATCTTTTTAGATCTGATTACATTCTTTGAAAAAATACTATAAAATTTTTGACTTAATTTTTTGTGTAACAAACAAAAATATTTGCCAGTCATGAATTTTTTTGATTAAGCATGAACATTTTTTTTAATTTATTGTATAGTAAAATTAGTTTTTTTCCAGGCAAAAATATACATTTAACACAAAAAAAAAAGAAAATTTTATTAAATGGAACATAATATTTGAATTGGATACAGGTCTATATTTAGTGCCACAAAAGTATATTAATTATGTAGTTAGTTTTAATTATCAAAAAAAAATGTATGTTAAAAAATATTAATTAACAAAATTTTCTTTGTATGAATATCAAAACGCGTTATAATTATGTTATAATTTAACTTACTGTGTTTAAAAAAATAAACAATAAAAAATATCGTATTCACTCTGAATGGTCATTTCTATTTTTTGGTATTTAAAGAGCATGAATCGACTGAAAATCCATGATTTATTTTCACAACTTACAACAATGAAAGCTGTCAACGGTCGCCTCATTCTATTGGCAATGCTGCTGGCCATTGTGGAATTAACACAGGTAAGAACAATAGGATGTAAATTCTAATATATTCGAATAATAACTTAAATATTTTTATATAAATATTGTTTATATAATATTAAAATTATTATTTCTAAAAAAAAAAAAATTAATTTCAGGCAATCGACTTACAACACCTCGAAGAGAAAGCCATGCAAGTTGCCAAGGAATGTGTTAAAGAAACGTCACTGAGTTCGGATGAAGTTAAACTTTTTATGGAAAATGCTAAGAAAGAAATCGACGAAATGAAATTCACCGATAAAATGAAATGTTATATGTCTTGTTTGTATAAGAAAGTTGGTATATTCGATGCGAATGGTAAACCGAAAATTCCGGAATTGACCAAATTCTTAGAAGAACGTTACAAGAACAAAAAGGATAAAGTAAAACCGGCTATGATGAAATGTGCAGCAATGAATGATCCAAATCTATGTGAACATGTTTTCAAATTTGAAGGTTGCATTGCTAAAGAAATTATGGGGAAATAATGGACATGTGAAAGCTGTAGGATTGAAGAAGTGTAAAGGATTCCGGAAATGAAGAAATAATTTTGCACACATTTTTTGTAATGAAAAGAAATACAATTTTAATAAAGTTTTTTTATGAAATAATTGCAGAACATTAATTATTGGGAAATACGAGTTTTGTTCCATAATTGGTATATTAAGGGTACCTTTCAACATTTGTATATTCTCCACCATGAATCGCACATACAAAATATCTAAAATCGCAGTCATGGCCCTTAATTGGACACAGCAAATCCTGTAATTATACCCTACACAACTATGTTGTCAGGGTATTATAGCTTTGTGCAGCCCCAAGAGTTTGAAATGCCGCGAAATATTGGTCCTAGACCCACCTTTAAGTATGCCGATCGTCATATCTCGACTAGCTGAGTCGATCTAGACATATGTGTCCGTCCGTCCGTCTGTCCATTAAAAATTGTAAACACGATACAGGCCACAGTTATGGACCAATCTTCACGAAATTTTGTATGTAGGGTTCTGGCCAATGAAAACCCCTATTGTTTTTGGTAAAGATCGGTTAATATTAAGAGGATGAAATGGACCAAAAATTTTATTTTTGTATGATTTTCTGGTCGCTCCAGACGCCGCAATTATGGTCCAAACATCGAGAAAATTTACATGGAGGAGGCTATCGAGCCAGAGAATAAGCATGCCTGTTTTGATGAAGATCGGTCAATATTTAGCGGGCCAAATGGACCCTGATAGACCCGAAAAGTTCATAGCATATCTAAGAGGACTGATTAGCCTTTAAATTTATACCAATTATATTGTCGTATGTACTTGGATGTGGGAGTTACACTTAAATATTTACAGGTGCTTACGTACTGATATATCATTTAATAACCAATTTCCACACTGGAAGGCGAAAATATAGCTCTGATCGGTTTGACATTTTCCACGAGGGTCCAGGTATGGTCAAAGACAACGCCTATAATTTTTGGTGATGATTAGATAATAGTTTTGGGATGAAGTGGACCGAAAAGTTATTTTTTGTGTGTTTTTCGAGTCGATCTATAGGCCGCAATTATAAGCCGAACATCACAACACAGCCCACGGTGAAGGGAATCTGGACAAGTAATTAGAGGGGCTGTACTGAATATTAGTAATATATGTCTGTATAGGAAGAGGTGCTGTTGATCTCTAATCGGGCAATAGGGTGCAAATATCGCGAACTATTGCCCAGGCTCAGAATAAACATCCGCTGAAAATTAGAGTTCCGTGGAAGTTGTGTAGGGTATTGTATGGTCGGCTCCGTCCGACTATAAAGCTCCGCTCACTGGTAAATGTTTCATAGTGAGTCTAGTGGGAAAATTCGAAGAACCCAAGAACGCCGAAATACAATTTATATCCATTAATTACGAAAAATTAAAAATGCATCTAAATACGAATAATTGGCCGGGACTTCTATATGGAGGCTAGAGAAATACTTGGATATGTATTAAATTTGTCATTCTGTTTGAAAAACCGTGAAAGGTTCGTCGAAGGCCACATAAAGTCTTCGACGAATCTTTGGATATATATTTTTTCAGAATAATACCGATTTATCTATGCCGATTTGGCCATGTCCGTGTGTCTGTCTGTTGAAATCGCGATAGAGATCACTGATATTGCTCTAAGTCGTAATATGTTTGGTATTGCAAATGGGGGTATATCACGCCATGTTTTGGTATAGCTCCCATATAAATATACTGCCCAATTTTCGATATTTTTTAATGCATGTAGCCGCACTTTCCAACCGAAACGTCTCGAATTTGGCATTTTGGGTGTATCAAAGATGTCATACATCTGAAAATTATCATTATAAACATATATTTTAAGATAGCCCCGACCATTTTGGTATTTTTATGGGTTTTCCAATCGAAAAGTCTCAATGTTGGCATTTCTGGGGTTTGAAGGCTGCAATACACCTGAAAATGATCAGTATAGATCAAAGTTTTTATTTAATCCCATATAAAAGTCTGTTCCGGTACTTTAAGGGTTTTAGCTGCATTTTTCATCAAAAAGGCTGTAATAGGCCAATGTTTCTAAGTACATAGAGAGGTCCCGCTTAATTTTTGTCTAGAAAACTTAACATTTTTATACCCTTCACCACACTGAGGTACAGGGTATTATGTCTTTGTGCATATGTTTGTAACAGGCAAAAGGAATCGATATATACCCATGGTTCCTTTTGAGAATATGCATAGAATAACTTTCTGAAAATCTTTCGATTTGCACGAATTTTGGCATAGCGTACTGAATTATGTCTAGAATGATGTGTGCTAAATTTCCTGGAAATCGATCTAGATTTAGATATAGCTCCCATATATAGTTTCGCCCGATTTTAGGTAAATAGTGAACCAAAGTCCCTGAAAATCTTTCGATTTGCACGAATTTTAGCATAGTGTACTGAATTAAGTCTAGAATGATGTGTGCTAAGTTTCGTGAAAATCGGTTCAGATTTAGATATAGCTCCATATATAGTTTCGCCCGATTTTAGGTAAATCGTGCACCAAAGTCCCTCAAAATCTTTCGATTTGCACGAATTTTGGCATAGCGTACTGAATTAAGTCTAGAAATTCGTGTGCAAAGTTTCGTGGAAATCCGTTCAGATTAAGATATAGCTCTCATATATATTTTCGTCCGATTTTATCTAAATAGTGCACCAAAGTCCCCATATATCTTTCGATTTTGGGATAGTGTACTGTTCTAAATCTAGAATGATGTGTACAAAGATTCGTGTAAATCGGTTCAGATTTACATACACATCCATATATATTTCCGTCCGATTTTAAGTAAATGGTGCACTAACGATCCATAGCTAGGCCGATTGACACAACGTTCGGAAGTTAATATAAATTAATCTCTGATAAGTTTCCTTGAAATCGGTTCAGATATAGATATAGCATAGCTTCCATATATAATTTCGACTTTAGGATACATATGCTGAATATACCCAAAGTGGTTAAAGGTATCATATAGTCGGCCCAGTCCGAAAAACTGTTTACCTACCAAGAACCCGGAAGGCCAATGCTGAACCCAACCTTAAAAATGCTGAAAATGAACCGGATTTTTTAATGTATGTCTAATGTATGTCTGTCTAATGTATGTCTGTCTAATGTATGTCTGTTGCTGTGAGCATTTTTGTGAAAAAGTTTTTAACCCTGCCTGAAAGTGGAATGCCGATTTAAAATCCCTTCGGTTGAACTATGTCTAAAATACATTTATGTGGAGGCTATTTGAAAACATAGACTGGCATTGAACATTTTCGTCAATATGTTCGGTAGCCACTATGAATCAGGAGTCCTAAATTACAGCCACTTCGTTTGAAAAATGAGCTTAGGACCCTAAAAATAACTACAATACAGACGTAACATAAAATCGGACGAAAATATATATATATATATATATATATATATATCTGAACCGATTGTTCCCAATTTCAATAGGTTTCGTTTTTGGGCAAAACAAAAGAGCTGTGCCAAATTTCAACCAAATCGGATCATAAATGCGACCTGTACTTTGTTTACAATTTAAACCGCACAGGCGGATAAAATCCTGATCGTGTATAATTCCAGCGAAATTACCGAAAGCAATACCGCATTTTTATACCATTACATGTACAGGGTATTATGTCTTTGTGCATATGTTTGTAACAGGCGAAAGGAATCGAAATAGAGCCAGGGTACCTTTTGAAAATATGCATTGAATCACTCAGAATATTCATACATGTCAATGTCCGACTGAGACAACATTTTGCACAGAGTACTAAATTAAGTACAAAATTTCGTATGACCAGAACATTGAGTGAAAGTCATGGGAAATAATGTTTAAATTGAATACAGTGTAATATTTAGAGTAACAAAAGTGTATTAAGTATGTAATTAGCTTTAAATAATGAACCATTTTTTGTTATCAATTAACAACATTTCCATTGTAAGAATATAAAACCGTGTAATAATTATTTTATAGTTTTATTTAATGTTTTTGTTTTCATTTTTTTTTTCATTCTGAATGGCCTTTTCAATTTAGGTATTTAAAGAACAGGAATGGACTAAAAATTCATCATACATTTTCATAACTTACAACAATGAAAGCTGTTATCGTTCGCCTCGCTGTAATGACAATGCTCGTGGCCATTGTGGATTTGACACAGGTAATAACGATAGGATGGAAATTAGATTATGTTGAAATAATAATTTAAATATTTTTATATAAATATCAAAATTAATATTCCTAAAAATTTTTCATTCCAGGCCATCGACCTAAAACACCTTGAAGAGAATGCCATGAAAGTTGCTACGGAATGTGTTAAAGAAACATCAATGAGTTCGGATGAGACGAAACTTTTTATAGAAAATACAAAGAAAGAAATTGACGAAATGAAATTTACCGATAAAATGAAATGTTATATTTTATGTTTGTATAAGAAAGTCGGTATATTCGATGTAAATGGTAAGCCGAAAATTGCGGAATTGACAAAATTCTTAGAAGAACGTTACAAGAACAAAAAGGATAAAGTAAAGCCGGCTATCAGCAAATGTGCAGCAGAGAATGATGCAAACCCGTGTGAACATGTTTTTAAATTTGAAAGATGCATCGCTATAGAAATTATCGGTAAATGATGGATATGTGAATGTTATTGGATTGGCTAAGGATTTCGGAGATTGAAATTTTGCATACACTTTTTATAACGAAAAGAAATACAATTTTAATAAAGATTTTTTATGACAAAATTGCGGAGCATTAATTTTTGGCAACTAGTAGGAAGAGTTGTAAAGTCGCACGGGACTGACTATATGAAACCCTTCACCACTTTGGGTACATTTGAAAGATGTATCTTAACAGGCGTTGAGGAGCCACGGGTATGACATTTGAGTACAGAGCACTGTGCGAAATTTAATTTCAATCGGACACTCGTGGATTAGATGGTGCACAATTAACATTAAGTCGTTCGAAAATATATATGGAAATATAGCCGA